GAGCCGCAAACGCGAATAAATTAATTATGCCGGCACGTCTCGGGATAGATTAGAGTCCGCGATGTGTCTATGAAAAGAAAGGTATCGCGTACTCATAAAAGAGATAGGGAAGGAATAGCGACGATGCCGCCGAGGGCTCAGCTTAATTACGACTTCTCGCTAACACGTTTCTACTTCTCGCCGTCAGTACCGTTTGCCACTTCAAAAGGCTTGCTTACGTTTAAAGGAGCCTCATTATTGTTCTCGTACTTTTTTCTATCGCGTTAGTTCCGCGGACTTCACCTCGCTCTGAAGTAATTTCTTGAAGCGAAGGCGCACCGATAGCAGGATAAGGAAACGAGTAGTTTTCCATTACCATATACAGCTGTTTTTAATATTTATGTAATTATACCGGCTTATAACAATGATACAACAATGAACTCCCGAGATACGTGTGCATAAATACATAATTTTTTTTTATAAATATAAATTACACATAATTTCTCGAATTAATTTTTTTGACAATACAATAAAAATACTCCCGGCCGAGATAATATTTTTCGCAATAAGAATTAATTATTTACAGATTTTAATATGTCACTCAGCATAATTAAGATCGAAAAAGCATCAAAAATGGTTAAATTGCTAGTTAATTTTAACTCGTGATATTACTGCGGTAGTTTAGTAGAATTAGCGGTTCAAAACCGAAAAATCATTTTGACGCTTTCAAAAAGACTACGTACGTAGTATATAAATTCACACAGAATCATACAAGCATTTAAGATCCAGCTAGACTGTTTAAGCTTTGATTGCTATAGTTTGTGTTATCACATATACGGTTCTATAATATATTATATAATAAAAATAAATTTATATATTTTCTATTACTGTTTTATGTGCAAATTGCTTATGCTCTCTCTATCTGTGAAACTTATAAAATAAAATCTACCTAATGTCAGTTAAAATTTACGAAAGATCACATTTTTACTGCGAGATTCAATACACAACAAATCTACTGAACTAGAAATAAATAATTGTTAAATATTAATTAATTTAATTATTAAGAATATATGGACATAATATTTGTCGTTAAAGTATTGCGATTGAGCTACTGCTCTAACTAGATGTGAGAGAAATATATGAACGTGGAAGAGAAGAGAAGAAAATAGGACACCCCGGCAGAGCGGTGTATTTAGGATACATCCTGTCATTTGTCATTTCAAGGGTTTGCGCTTGACTCGTCAGCGATTCTCCCCATTGTCTACGCCACAGAGATAGTTTTGTCCTCGGGAAAGAGATTAGAGAGAGTGACACTCGTGTGTATCGTGCAAGTTTCGCGCAGACTCCGAAATCGCGACGTAACAGCATACACTTCACTGCTGCTGAATTCGGACGATCCTTTCAGCTTCGCAGAAAGAAGCTCGCCGAGGCCGAGGTCGAGAGTGAATGGCAGTTCTATAGTATCTCCGTGACGACTGATCTGATTCTTATAGAGTTAGTCAATCGAGAATTGGAAAGGTACGCAATAGCAGGAAAAAATAATTTCAAAATCAGCGTAATTCAAAGATATACCATGCGCTTCGTTTCTTGCGCTTTAACGAGATTGACGAACAACTTTACGGTTGTACCATATTGCGCTTGTTAATAATACGGCAATGTTTAACAAGCATTTCCTAAACAAAACCACGATCCGTTCTGTCAAGATTAACGCTTTCATGCGGGTCGGTTCGCAATACGAATTAGGGAAAAAAACTTGATGACCCTGACATTTGTAAGGATTAGAAAGAAAATCAGTAAAAACGGCAGCTTAACCCCCGACGTTGGTCGTACGGTGAAAATCTGGCGTACCCTAATAATCCGAAGTGATTTCTCAAAAGGCGATCTTGTGCGTCCTTTTTGCATTTCGCATGAATTTGCCTCCTTGCAGAAATGACGCTATTCTCATTTCGTTCCTTTTCAGTCTACGAGACATATCACAAAATATAAACATTATTACAAAATAAACATATTTCTAAAATTATTTCTTTCACCATAGAATATTTCAATTATTACCATAACTTTATCTTCATATTGAGCTTATTTCTTTATTTATTAATGTAAGGCAGTTGACTATGTTTCAATTTACTTCTGAAATTATAATACTATCTTGAATGTATATTGCATCTTTTAGAAAATATACAATATATAAAGTGTAAAAAATATACAGTAAATTAGATTCCATGGTTTGAAATCGTGAATATTCGTTAATTATCTCATATCGCATACCAAAATTCGACTAGCCACGTAAACCCTGTTGCCTTTCGACCGGTTTACAAGGAAGTTTAATTACGCGGTGCCAAGTTTGATATAGTTAGGCCCATTGAACTGCCGGCAAGATTGTTTTACGAAGTAAATGAGGCAATGATGACTCGAGGCTTCGGGACCACCTAGCAGCCTGACGAAGTCCTTCCAGGCTTGCCTTTAAACTCCTTGCAAACTAATTAACGCGCGACCAACGCACGTACACACACAGACATACGTACCTCGTGTCTTCTCTTCTTCTTGCTCGCACGCTCAAGCTATCGCACAGTTTTAGAAAAATTCCTTCAGAATTCTGTAAGTCCGTTTAATTTAGATTGCCATTATTGCCTGTTATACTATTAGAATAAATGTGTAAGATTTTTCATTATTTTTCCTGTAGATTCTCGTTTACGTTATATTTACATTTAAAAAGTTAAATATTTCATGTAAATTCATGCATCTTCAGCTTCAATGTTCAATAAATTACTAAAAAATTATTTCGAGTATTTTTCTTATATATAAAAATACTACAAAAAAACAAAAAATCATAGAACATATGTAAAATAAACACTTATTTTTGTTTATATGATCAACTTGAAGAAATAATTTAACATAATAATATATAATAATAATATAAATTAATTATAACAATTAATATTTATCTCTCTGCCATTATGCAGCAAAGAAATGTTGCTATTTAGTGAAATAATGTGCTGGATGTGCTTAAATATAAGAATTACATATAAATAATATAGGTATAAACTGTGAAATCATAACAATGCAACAATAAATATCACAATCGTATTTTATCAAGCCATATATTTATATAAATGAATATAATTAAATACATGACCTATAAAACTATCATTAAAATTTTCGCGTTATATACATTCGGAACGAACATTATCCGTGAATAGAATTTCAATCATAAACAAATGTATAAATCAAGAAAATGTATAAATCGAAAAATGTACACTGAGAAAAAAATGCTGTCGATTCAATTAAAGTTTATATTATAAGTGATTAATATATTTTTATTGACACAAAGGCATAAATTGTTATTTCAACAATCAAGCCTTTATATCAATAAAATATACGCATGAATTAATCACTTATGTTAGTGACAGCCCGTAATATAGACTTTAATTGAATCAACAGCATTTTTTTCTCAGTGTATAAATCAAGGAAGCATACCGTGTTTCCATTTTATTTCAATTCGCAAGAATTTAATGAATTACAAAATTGTTGTACTAATGAATAAATCAACAAGCTTTTGACGTTTTTTCACGATCTTCAATAACCTTCTTTTACAAATTTGTTCATTACTATTTTCTTAACAAATAAATCATATAGTATAAGTTGTAAGGACAACAGCATATAGAATTATATTCTTTTCCACAACTTGTGTTGGTAACGGATGCAAGTACATAAAGATCAAATAATTATATTTATATATTTAATAGGTACACTGAAAAAAATTCGTATAATTTTACATGTTTATGGCTGAAAAATTATCTAAACAAATAATTATTGTAAATATATATTTATATGTATTTATTATATATAATAGTATATATATACTTCTTGCATTTATATATATATATATTTATATATTTATTATATATATTTACAATAATTATAAATTTTCAATCATATTTAGGTAATTTTCTAGCTATGAATATGTAATTTCCATGTAAAATTACATGAATTTTTTTCAGTGTATATATGTAGAGATATATACACATTGTATATGTATAGCTAGATCGTGTATAAAAATATCTTGCGTTAAATCAACTATTATTAAATGTTAGAAAAAATTAGCTACATTATGTTCATACAGATCAGCTCGGCACCAATTCCGTTCCTGAAACAAAAATCACATAGGAACCTTAAAAGGTAAATAACGATCGACACGCGTGTGTAACATAGAATAAATAAACAGAGCATTTTCGATCATCAAGCATCCGAACGCTACGCCTGCCTAGTGTGTGAGTTTTAAACACTACAGAGATACGTTGAACCATGCGTTACTTATACTATTCGATCTTGGCTGAGAAACGCTACTTTTTGCTGATATTTATTAACTCTCTAAGAATAGTATTGTATCATTAAAAAACAATTTTTTTTACTGATTTTGCTAAAAAATGTCTTATAAATAAAGAATTTATTGTTGTATATTCTATCAGTGTATATCGATATATATCGATGCACACAGCTTTTCTGGCGATTAGAAATACTATAAGGTATATATTTTAGTGTTCAGTACACTATATATAATACATTTCCATTGTCAATTCTTAAATGTAACTAGTAATCTGCACAGTATAAAGCCTTATTATATTTTACTTGCGTAATTATATATATTAATCTGCAGAAATTCCAAATTAACCTCGAATTTATCACAAATTTAATTTTACACTGTTAAATCTATAGTGTCAAATTTAACTTAATGTGAGTCGCCACTGCTCCTATTAAATATATTGTTATTTTTTACTAAAACGATAATTAAATTTGACACTATATCGTGTCAATTTGATACTGTATAGTGTCAAATTTAATTATCGTTTTAGTAAAAATATAACCATTGTTTTAGTGTAAAATAACGATATGATTGAATAGAAGCAGTGGCGATTCACATTAAGTTAAATTTGACATTATAGATTTAACAGTGTAAAATAAACATTATAAATATGCAATACTCGCCTCTAGAGGGTTAATAACTAATTTAATCGGTTTAATGCTGTTAATTCTTCATCATTAGCAACATATTACAGAAAATCATACACATCTCTCAACGCCTGTTTCTTCTGAAAATTAGCATGGTTAAGTAAGTATTAACAAATAGCATATTTCCATTCGCATTCCCATCACCAAATGATCCTAAATATTATGTAATTAAAAGATTCTCATTAAAACGTATAAGAATAATAATGTTAAGTGTCAATATAACATGCTCAAAATAAATATTTGCTCAATATCTCCAACATGCAGCGACATGCATCCAAGTTCTCCAGAAAGTTCTTTTCTCTATTAAGTTCATATTATATATGTCACATTTTTTTCATATAGGACACCATATATATATATATAATATATATATTATCACTTTTTATTCACCCATCTCTGTATCTTTTCTTTTTCTTTATTTCTATTCTCCCCGCGCGCAAACTTTCTTCTAGTCCGAAGGGAATTTTCTTTATAGAAAATAAGCCAAGCGAATCGATCAAAGCTCGCTCCGTTGTTTCATAGAGGGTGGATCCCATCAAGATTTGTATATGTACGATCGTATGTATGACTTGTAGACGTGTTCGTCTGTACAAGTCGGACTGAAAAAATGTGTGGGATGAAACGCCTTACGCATGACTGACTCTCGTGAAACATTTTTCCGCACGCTATGCGGAGAATAGAGTCTACCCTTTCCGTGGTCCGTCTCCTTTCTTATCTATCCACAGAATGATTTCCTAGAGTAATGCGGAAACGCAAGGGTGATTTTGGTTGACGTGTACGGATTGTGAATTCGTAATAAAGCGCTTACTAGCAGAAATTAAATATTCTTTTGCGTTAATTTAGAACAGAAAATTGTAAAAATAATTGCAAAATAAAAAATAAGAGCATTCCTCGTAAAGTAAAATAAGCTAAAGACATAAAGTATATATTTCAAGTACAATGAAAGAATAATATTTAAAAGTTGTAAGATTAAACATAAATCATCTCTGAAAGATGGAATTAACGAATTTTAATAACATGTCTTACAATCGTCTTAATAATGTTTTGTTCGTAGAAGTAGAGTATATGAGACGATAAGACGAATGGAAGTAAAAGAGATAATTTACAAGCAACCACGGAAATGCTCTAGTCTGGTAATAGCGCTGCTTAAAATCACATTAAGAATGAGAACCATGCCGAAAATGACGGAGGAGGCAAATGTGCTGCAGGATGCGAACAGGATGAGAATGCAACGAGAAGAAATTAAAGCTATTATATATGATATCAAGGAATGTCACGAAAGCTATGTTGAAATATGTTTAAGTAATATAAAAATAAATTGACGAGAGAACAGTAAATTACATGATGTATTCAAAATTAAATGATTTGTTTCGAAGGGCGTGTTATAAATTATATAAATTAATAAAAATGCGTTTTTAATGTACTATAAATACTTTTATGACGTATAATTTAAATTCATTATAATTTATCAAATATTCAACGCATAGTAAATTCATTATTTCATTTGTAAAATATCTATAGGCAATTAAAGAAGCCTAATTAATCAGTGATGTCTCTTTCATGATACGTAAAAAGAAATATTTAAAAACACAAAGAAGAGAAAAAACGTAAAGATGTAGAAAGAGAGAATTAATTGTACTGCGATCAATGAGACTCTTTTCTATCGTGCTAAAGAGCCGAGAGAGAAAGTCTCCCCTTCGCCCTTGCCTCGTCACGTCTTCTTCTGTCTGTCTCTCGTCGTAGCTGACTGTGACAAATAATTACCGAGGCTTAACATAAGCCAGAGGCGGTATACTTAGCTAATAGCAAAAAAGAGCGGCGATGGCCTCCAAGTCGCTGCTCTACGTGCGAGCGGTCGACGCGTTTACGCCATGTCGGGTCTACGGACGAGATGAATTTCCACGGACGAGATGAATTTCCACGGACAATTCTTAGCTCTCCGTCAGCTATCACGACGCATTCACTTACGTACCAATAAAGCCGAGAATTGAGACAGCATGTGCGAATGTCAGCACTGTTCAAGAACACCAAGGATCTTCGAGAAATATTGTACGTTACGATACAAATGAATCTGACTTGTATAATCGGTAAAAATATCTATTACTGATCCTTATAATTTTTTATTAGTTATTGTAAAAATATTATTACTATCTCTTTTCAAATGGCACAGTAGGCATACTCAGGGCTCGTCCTGAATGATAAAGTCAGCAAATACTAAAGATTCTCTCTCTCTCTCTCACTCGTTCACCGTCTTCTCCATTCTCATAGGACCTCGTTTTCTGACTAACTTATACTTATTATTGCATTACCTCGTGCTCTAGCATAATTCCAGCCTGTGCCGGAGGTAGCAAGGAAATGATGAGAGAGCTGGAGAAAAAGTCAGAGAAGGTGATGCCTTCTTTTTTTTTACATAATTCGGCGCATATAATCCGTGCCCCGGGGTCCAATGCGCGTAATTGAACGCACTAGTAGCAGGTGCATCGCTCTTTGCTTCTGCCATTGCAAGCGTGAGCAACGAATACGTTAATGTCTTCGTTACGACTTCATTCATCAAATTATCGCGATTTTTTTCAATATCCGCTTACATCCCGGCAATTCTGCGTTATCTCTTTCATCGCGTGTATAACAATATTCGTTTTCGCGAAAGACAACTTTATTTAACAAGGATGCTTTACTACTTTTATTATTAAATATAAAGTTTCATAATAGTCATAACAATTCTAATATTGTTGTAATATGAAGTGAAGTGTAAAATATTTAACATTACTTAGAATGTTCATTTTTAAACGTTATAATATTAAAGAAATAGACGAAAAAAAACGTCACATTTAGTATGTCAAATATTCATGTAATCATTTTTCATTTCACGAGACATGAAAATAGAAGTAACAACACAACGTAACAATTTTTCGAAACAAGAATATATGTCAACATTTGATGTTACATTAGTATCTAAATTAAATAAAGTAAAACTTATTCGCTCGTATACTGAGAAAAAAATACTGTTGATTCAATTAAAGTCTATATTACGGGCTGTCATTAACATAAATGATTAATTCATACGTATATTTTATTGACATAAAGGCTTGATTATTGAAATAATAATTTATGCCTTTATGTCAATAAAAATATACATGAATTAATATCACTTATGTTAGTAACAGCCCTAATATAGACTTTAATTGAATCAACAGCATTTTTTTCTCAGTGTATGTAAGCTAAAAGCAACTAATACAAACAAGGTCATCTAGATTAAAAACGAGCATAAAATAAGATGTACACTGAAATTAATCTTTATTTTTAAAAATTCTATGATACGTTTCGGACTTTATTTAGTCCTCTTTGGTCATATAGAAACACCTATATATCTAATTACAGCGCATGGAAAAACAAATCGAATGCCAAGGTTTCAAACAGCGTTCGCATATACAAAATTCTCTCAATGGGTCGCACATATTTCGATTCTTCCGACTATGCGATGACACAACTGATTGTGCTGTTAACAATATGTTGTCCTGAGGACACTACCCTGACGAAGGCAGTCGTCACTTGTCAGCTATCAGGACAACATATTGTTAACAGCACAATTAATTTTATGTAAATCGTTACATTTTACTCATATAGATTTCCTTCTCAATATCTTCCTCAACTTTTACCACATTTTTATAATTTATGTACTTGGAATTGGATGGGAGATGTCATACGATTCAAGGTTTTTAATTTTTGTGACTATAAATGAGTTTTGTTAACGATCGAGGAATTCGTTGCTTTTAATAACGACAGAATCATTCGAATTAGAACGAGTTATGGAAGAATCGAATTTGAAACCTTGACATTCAATTAGTAATTTATCCATGCGCTATAATTAGGTATATAAAATAGGTTAATTTCTGTATGACTGAAGAGGACTAAGTAAAGTCCGAAACATATTACAGAATTTTTAAAAATAAAAGATTAATTTTAGTTACATCTTATTTTTTTTTAATTTAGATGACCTTGTTTATATTAGTTGATGTTATATTAGCCTGAAAAAATGGCAGCCATAAGAACACTTCAAAAACAAACTAAGAAAAAAAGCGCGAAGATAATATATGCTATACTAATTTACACGAGCATCCCGTTCGACACTTTGCACGTACCCGACATCTACCCCTCATCCCGTGAGAACTGGAAGGGGTGGCGCTCTCATGAATGCGCTGTGGAGTTTCGTGAGCTCCTTAATGAACCTAGTTCGCGAAAACCATTAATAACGAAAGGACTCGGCAAGGAGCGCGCGCGGGCAGGAAAAGAGAAGCTGATATTCGGCGAGGGCCCGAAACCGCAGATCTTTCGTGAGAAACTCTCCGGAACAGCGGCTGCTTTACACTCTCTCTTCCATTATTTTTTAAAGATCTACTGCATCGTTCATCTTGTTCGAGCACATCGGAAAATCATGAGACTCAGAACGAATTAGCGAAAATAAGTTTTTTTAACGAGAACAAGTCGGATAGTCTGTTTACACAGCGAATGAAGCCCCTAACGAAAGCTCTTTCTTCTCGGAAACGAAACACGGGAAACGGAGAGATAGTCAGTCGGCATGGCGAAGGGTGTCGGCTAGCCCTAATGCGACGTATCAATATACGTGGATGGTAGTGATGGGCCAATATCGCATAAGTGGCTCGATTCGCAGTCATTTGTTACATTTTGTTCGGTCTAAGTAATTTAAGAGTCACCGTTTGCCCTCCATCTCTTCCTCCTCCGTCTCTTAAAAGGAGAAGACGAGGGATCGCGAAGAGAAGACGGAAATCTAAGAGAGAACGGGAGAGAATAAGAAAGGGAAAAGGGTGAAGGGTGGGTTGCTTGGACCCTGGGTGGAAGTTACTCCGCCAGGGAGGGAAACGGGGCGAGGGTGGTGCACTTCGCCTCCATTCTTCGGCAAATCGCGGCATATTTGTCAGATTTTTGTTCGAGAACAAAACCTTGCCGACCACCCCTGGCGCGAGCAAAGGGGGTGAAGGAGAGATGAGGCGCCTTAAGTGGATTGGCTTCGTTCGTATACGGTGTATGTGTATCCACGACGAATGCCTTAATTTCAGCTTCCCGCCGGAGATCCTCGTCGCCTTCGATTCTCCGGCTACGCGAGAGAAATCTCCGCTCTTTCGCGAAATTATAGTATTATAAATGATGTATGTCTGCATATCGTAACTATCATCTTACTTATCTCGAGTCACATAATTGCGCACATCGAGTCTCAAAACGAGAGCACGAGTAATCATAATTTCGAGATACTATAACGCCACGAGTAATACATCTTGAAACTTAATTCACATTTTACGACATACTAAATAAATATATACATGCATTATATACTCTATATATCCTTAGAATATCCACTGAGAAGAAGAGAAAAAGGAAAGTAGATTAAAAAGTTTGTTTTTACTCACCTTTAAAGCCTTTCTCTGGCGACGAAGAATCGAAATTGTGAGCATCAGACTCGACATCGGTTTCATTTTCTAATGGAGAATCAATCTGAAATCATAGATGTTCGCGATACATTACTACACAGTCATAACAACAAAACTCTTATTTTTATTTCAAATTATTTAATGTTAATCAGCTTTAAAAGGCCAGAGCAATGTACACTCTTTAACATATAAATGTTATTATATATGATACATACACTTGTGATTCGTAATGAATAATAATTTGACTTTTTTAATTAAAGTTTATTAAAGCGATATAGTACAAAACAAAACTTTTCTATATTGTTTTATTTGAACATTGAAGACACAAAAGACGATCCGTATTAAATTTGAGCATCGGATACACATGTGAACAGCTGCCAACGGCTATAACAGCGTCTTCCCACGCGTCTTCTCGAAGCATATGTGATCCACCAATCTATGCGTCCCTCTATATAATTATACGACTACATTTCGTGTAAATATAAACTATTACGATACATACGGTTCATATTACGGTATTATAACGCAAAATAATATTATTATTGCACACTAAGTATAGAACAACACATAAAAAGATACGGAAGTAAAATAAACACTTTTACATCGCTTATTTAATTTTTAAGCACGTAAAAAAGTAAATAAACAAATAAATTTTTATAATTCATTACATGAAGCATCGATATCGAGGATAGTCTCATATCACTTCATTAATTAATTAGTTTAAATCTGATATCGTTCTTTAATGGGATTAATATCTTACAATAAAAAGAATTATAACTGGTTATATACTAGATATTATATACACTGTTGGAAATGTTCTTAAATTTCATTAACTTTTAAGTTACACAATTTGAATTTAATTTCATAACATTACATTAAATTTAATATATTTATAACTAAAAAGTATGTTTGTGTACATATACATACAATTTAATGTATTTTTCATGAAAATTTATGAAATTTAATGTAAACATTTATTGCATTTAAGTAACTACTGTAACTTAATTTTCAGTTAAATTATTCATTACTTTTAATTTCGTTCATAACCAATCACTAGCTTCATTTACATGTAAAGGAAGCTCGTGGTTACATTTCTAACAGTGTAGTAACATATATCATGTTAAAAAAAAAAAGAATTTCTAATCGCTTGAAGAGTGGGTATGGGAATTCGAGTGAGCAGCACACGCGTAGGTGTGATTACGCTTCTGAAACCCCTTTTTCCCATAGAACTAAATATAGCGGGTGTCATCTCTCTCTCCAATGACTTGGACACACGTGTCTCCGCGCGACGTCGGTACAGTGACTCACATCTGGTCGATGTTTCCTGCCGGCCGCAGCATCCTCTGTGCAATGTGATTTATTTTCAAGTATATGATCCCAGAGATTCGCCACGACGAGAGATCATCGCGGCGACCGGAGCGGATAGTCAAAGGCAACGTGAATATACAACGTGGTTACGAAAATAAAGCAAGACCGATTAGGGGTAAGTAGTGTAAAGTACAATCGTGGCGTGAAGTTGCAGCGTGTGCCCAATAAAAGCTCCTAGACTTTTCTGTGCCTAGTCTATCGATACTTGAAAAATATTTGAAAGTGAAGTGAAAATTAATCGAGTCTTTACGCTAAACAAATTAATAGGTACTCTCTAAATCTGAATTAGTAGATAATCACTGATGTCAGTCCCAAGTATGTTATTGGGTCAGTGAATTCATAATGAAATTCAATTAAAAAATCAATAAAACGTGGAATCCCTAACTTAGTTAACTTCGCCTTAGTGTATACATTTAATGGTATTGGAACTGACATGCAAATATCGGTATTGTAATTAAGAATATGTAATAATGCTCGAATTCTTTTCTTTTTGAACTGAATTTCACTGATTATCCAATGTCATATTCGGGACTGATATCGATGATTATATATTAATTCAAATTTAAAGTATATAACAAAATAAATACGCATACATACGCGTAATAATAATAAAACTTATTACATAATATTACTAAAGTATCTAATTATACGGAAAATATTATCAATAAAAAATTCTAAAATTTCTTAAAATAAATTTAAAAAATTGACTATCTCAATTAGCGAGACTGCGCAAAATTCTTCGCCAATAATTTTCAATCATAGTCATAGCGACCGCTTAGCGTTATAAAGCTACATCATCTACTCCAACATCATCGTCGATGCTTTCAATCGAGGCCACTGACAGCGGGAGTGCATAGTCTCTGCGGTACGGATTCCCCGAAGTTCCTTTCTTTCATCGCCAAACGTTATTCTCGTCCCTCACTGGCCACGGCGAGAGCGCGTAAAGAGGAGGACGAAGGAAGGGAGAAACCAGGTAAAGAGTGTTCTCTCTACACGGGTATAAGGCCAGTTTTGAAATGCTCGGCAATATAGTGAGTTCGTTATGAGGCTCGCCCCGACGTGGTATGGCTCATAATTGTAGACTCGAGGCTCGAACCATGCACCTCCAGGCACTACGTTCTTCCCGACTGACACCTATTGTCCGCAGAAAATCTCGCGGATCCATCCGAAAATCATCGCAATCGCTCGTTGACGAGCGAAGAAGAGTCGTCTAATTGTCGCCCGGTTCGGGCGTCGATTTTCGCGGCCTAGCGCGACACGAATCACACGCCCGCGGCATTTTGCTGGGCGTGAATTATGCGTAAGAAAAGCAAGGCGGACGCGGACAAAACATTTCATGGCCGGGTATGAAAATTATTAGCCCGAGAATGTCTTAATCCCCGGCACCGAGCCCAGTCCCGCGGTCTTCGGCTTTAACATAAAACTTTTTTTTCCAGCCGGGACTCATCGAGAGAAATGCTCCGGACGCGAGCTGATGGTCTCGCGAAGATGTAGCAAAGTACTGGAACGCGGCGCAGTTCGGCGCATAATGTATGTGCTACGTCGAACGGCACCCCGTTTATTTCCAGGTTAATGCACGGTTTAAGGTACGGCTGCAATGCGCGCTTTTTCCTTCGCGAAGATCGAGATACCGGGCTATCGCATGCTTTACGTGTTTCTAACGTCGCTTTAGAGAGCGAATGCGCACGACTTTTTGCTGGGATGTTTGAGATGAAAAAGAAAAGATCCAGAGAACAGTATAGACGCAGAAATTATCAGTAGATACATATAAAGTTATTATTATTAGAGTTTAATCATAAAAAATCATAGAAATATCTTGTAATCATACTAAATAATTAAGTTAGATAAACATATATGTCTTATTTCGTTGAAGAATAATTAACATTGTAGATAATTTACGAGATTAGTGTCTCGAATTAACCATAATTGATGATATGAAAAAAATATTCATTAAATAAAATATCGCATACAATTATTGTTTTTCCTTTTTTTTAATTATTATACATAATTTTTAATTAATTCGTTTTGTTTTTTGGGAGGCTTAATAATAGCAGTTCTGCTGATGCCTCACCATTTGTGTATGCTTTGTAATTTCTCTACACACAATAAAATAATAATAATAATAATAATTTTGTGGAGGTATCTATATAATTAAATATATATTTTTTAAATATAAAGGCCAAACACACATGGAATATCAAGCATTATAGCTATGAGTATCTTTTGAATTTACTCAAGTATCATATATAGCTATGAGTATCTTTTGAATTTACTCAAGTATCATTAGAGTAGAAGTCTTAAGTTATTCCCAGGCTGTCCTGAGTTATTTATCTGTCTGCACGGAGAGGGTGAATCTTACCTCCTCCCTCTCCGCTTGCTCAACCACGTCTTAATAGTACGAGCCACAGAGTTAATAAACCGACATAACGGCAATTCTCTCAGTGCATCTAGTTTCTACAGTTTTTAATCAAAAGTTCAATTATTATTCAAATCATATTTTTTTCTAAAAAAAAAAAAAAAAAAAATAGGAAAACCGTGTTGCACATACATTTCTAAATATCTACAATCAAGACCAAAAAAAAAAAATAAAAATTCTAGACAAAATTCGTGTTAAAATATGTACGAATTAAGAATGATATATTTATTTACAAAATTTAAGTATTAGCAATCGATTAATGGGAATTAAAAAAAAACCTACTAATATCTCAGTTCATTCGTTTTCAAAGAAAACTTTTATGTCAGAGGAGATTTTGATGGAAAAACGAGAAAAAGCTGCGGGAAGACTTAATACAAGCTAGGTCGGTGGAAAACCGCGGAGTGCATAAATTCAAAGTAGATTAATATTGTCTCCGTGGCTGTCGCGGCGCCAAACTTATGGCGCTAATTCGGCGGAGAAATTATTACCGAGGGCTTGCTTCGAGTCATCCCCACTGGCACTCGTGTGTTTTGCGAAAAGGGAGTATCTTGTCTTTAATAGAAACCGTACGTGCTCCACGGGATTCCAAGCAACGCGTCTGTTAATATCTGAACCTCGAAACGTCCTGCTAAGAATTGTCCCAATATGACAAAAGAGACGTCGACTATATTTATAAATTATCCGAATATGCCTTTGAAATTGTAAACATTTGCTTTTGTATTATTATTATGGCATAATTATACATGAGTTATAAAAAAAAACTCGTCTTCATTCATCTATTTATAAAATCAATGTATAGAAACAATGGGAATGTAATTTTAATGTGCGTTGTAAAGTTGGAATTATTTTATATATTTAGTATAATCATGAAAACGCGAAGGTAATCTAAGGTAAGCATTATCAACGGGCGTGGCTAAAAAAAAAACAGCATTCCGAAGGTCTTTTAAGTAAATTAAGGGCACTTTGCATTGTTTTTCGTTTCGCGAAGGGCCGAGGAAGACGGCAGATTATAGCTGTTTAGCATCCTCGATGAAAAACTTGTCGGTAATTATTCAAATTATTTTCAAGGGCTACGCTTTTCGGTAGACCGGAGCCGTTACGTGGCGAATGTCTTAATACTGTCCCTTTCTACGTCTACCGGCTATGGAAAAGATGCAGTGGCCCTGCCGACAGTCATAAAATACAAGCAAAACGTTCAACACAACTGCAAGGTGTCTTTTAAGAGTTACAGGACAACATCATCCTTAATCTAAATTATATCTTAAATGAATGTTAAACAA